GGTTCAAGTGGACAGTAGGAGGAAATGCTGTTAAAAGCACTACTGGCAGACATGTCTATATCCATCTCCCGATGACGAAGAAGGGAAGCATGAAGATTAGACTTGATGGAAGGGAGGATGCGGTTTTGAATGAGGGAGATGGAGCGTTCATTAGCAATGTGAATGCGGGGGATGTTTTGAGCGTAGAATCCATTGGAGAGGCCGAGGCTGAGGTTGTGGTTTTAGATAGTGATTAGGCGGTTATACCCCCCAGATTGCATAATAGATTCACGTTGATTCCCTAAGCTCTTCCTAAGTGATGAGCACCTGTCTTTTACCGGTTTTATTTGTCATTTGAAAATATCTCTTCGATATTTAAACATAATATCCTTTTTCTTCCACGACAAAGCAGGTTCTTGTTATCCGAGCCTTGAAGGTCCTAGTTTATTTCAAACCTTCGTATTTTTCAAAGCAAAATCTTTTCCAAGCTCCTGGACATCCAGCTCTCCTTTCATGTCCCTCAATAATCAGGACATTATGAACGAGACCCGGTTGCCATATTCCCGTAACACTGCTCAAATTTTGGCGTGGTGGAGCTAGATTTGATCCCATATCATTCACATTGTCTCTCTTTCGAGACATAGCTGCCCCTCACATCTCCTACCCCTTATCTTAGGCCTAGAAAAAATGTAGGATAGGAAGCTACCTCGGGAAACAACCGACGATTGCCCATACCTCGTGAGTTTGAAGAAGTCGTGGTTCTAGGCGATTCCCTGACACATTCACAGTTCCACGAGAGTACGATGCCATCGAACCGGTCTCATTGGACTACACGTTACTGTATGTAGCACTTCAACCCTTTCTAGATCTGAAGAACCAATGTTCGAACAGTCTTCACGGAGCAAGCGCGAAAAATGTGGGATTGGTGTAACTGGCGATGGTCGCAAGTTGACACAGCGGACACCTGGTTCCTCGCCGCTTGTTAGTCGTTCCTCAATCCTGATCATACAGAATACTGGCGTCTACCGCTGATGGTGTAGTATCGGCACCCTTTCCAAGGCAACACGAGTTGGACACAAAGCCTTTCCAAGCCATCATATAGCAACAATATCTTAGCAGGCCACAGGACATATGGGATTCACAAATACTCTGCCAATTCCTGACATCTGGAGTTTGCATTAAGTCGAGCAATACACAATCACGTGGCAAAACTCGGAATTCAGTAAGTAAGGCACCGAACCTTTAGCCCGTAGTGATGTTCTATGACGTTCAGGCCTGTGGAGCCCCCATGGAGCACTTGCACTTGTGCTCTCTATTACTGGAACCCCTGCAGACCATTTTTGCGTAAGCGCACTCGGATGGAGAACACGTCTCTGGTTGAATGAAGACCGCTTTCAAGCACAAAAACTGCTGCATCTGTTCACGACACGAAAGTTCTCAACCAGCAGACACTAGACGATGCGGGAATATATTGAACATTTTCATAAGCTTAAACTGTGCTCTCGGCACGAATAGGGGTCACAAGCGAGGAGGTGATTGGTTCGGCATCCAACTGCCGATCACCTACGAAACATTTTCGACCTCCGAACAACATCTCTACACTCGCTCAATCACGACCATACATTTAAACAATTGCTTGCTTGAACGAGCTATGATGCCTTCGGGATGTTTGATTTTCAAGTTGATCACTCCTTCAATGCAGTTCTGAAACGTTCCGTATGACGGAGGAAGGAGGAACCCGAGTAAAATACGCCGAAAGCAGATCTCTAGCTGTCGCGAATCGGGCACAACTACGCAATATCCAAACCCCCAAAGAATTTGTCCAACCGGTATATATGGTCTGTCTCTTCTACTTGGCCTTTTCCCATCCACACTCCAGACCATTCCAGCCCCCAATCCAACCACAATACAGCCACAATGCAGTTCACCACCGCCGTCTTCGTTACTCTCTCTTCCGTTTCCTCGGCGCAGAACTGGGGCAACTTCGATTGGGGAGCAGCCAACCCTTGTGCTGTAAGTATCCTTCATTCTTCACTCGATCTTCACTGACATTTGTAGCAATCTTGCTTCGCTTCGGCCTACCCAGGCACTTCAAGCTCGTGGTCTAGCCACTGCGCCACGCAAACTCTTCTCAACAACTGCATCAACTCAGCTTGCCCAACCATGACCGCCGTCCAATCCTCAGCTTCTGCCGCTCAATCAGCTCAATGTTCAGCCTACAGTAGCTGTTCTACTGTTCAGGATGTCTGCACAAACGCTTACCCATGGTGGGGTGGATGGAGTGCTTGGGGGTGGGATGGACCTCACCACGACGGAATGTATACTGTTACTGCTAGTGACTCGCGAACCACGGGGTTGACGACAAGGACTGTCACCTCGACCTTCAGCGGAGTTGTTTCTACCGCTACTCAGACCGCCACCCTCGTTGCTGCCCAAGCCGCTGCCGGATCTGCCACTGCCAGTGCTGCTGCCACCGCTACCTCAACTTCGAATGCTGCAGGAAGCCTTGGTATCAATGCTGTTGGTGCTCTCCTTGGCGCGGCTGTTATCGCCATGGTCGCCATGTGAACTGGACGAGTAGAGTAGCCACGGAAGCCTGTCTTTTTCTCTCTTGAAGACTGACGATTGATGAGTAAAATGAGCACTGTTTGAGCGACGAGCGTTGGAAAAACATATTAGTATGTCCTGGAGTTAATATTGCATATTTGGGTCAGACTTTAGATCGGATCTCTAGACCATTTAGACATCAATTTTATCAGGCTTTTCTTTCCTCGCATTATCTGTATCTTCATGTTATATGATCATATACACCAATTTCATTCTCAGCAGAGCTTCCATATCCCTCTTTTGATAGTACTCTACCTTGACACGTACTTTCTTCAGCTGTGAAGTTCCACTGACTTTCAGATCTTTAGTTCCCTCATCCTCTATTCATACCTTGCTTAACCTGCAACGCGACCAAATCACAACAGCGAGGCGGTCCCACGAGAAAGGAGTCTCGGCCGAAAGTCTGGCATTCCATAAATCTGCTCTCTCAACTGCTGATAGACTTATGGTGTGTTCGAAAGTTGTCGAATCGCCTTGTCCGAAGCTCGTTATATCATCGAGATGCCCCGTTCTTGTGGTCCTTGCTGGTATGGGCGATACATCCAAGCTTTAAAGTGACGAGGAGCCAGGAATCGATTTATGTTAGAGAAAAATTCGGTTACCACGACCGGAAATAGACCAGACGTGCGTTGCAGCGCTACCATGTTTTTACTCAAACCATGAGAAGCCGCAGATATCTAGCCACTTACTACTCCGGTGGGGGCATGGCACTGAGATGTCGTGGTGGAAGTATCATTTTCAGCTTCTTGCACAGGGAATGTATAACGACTCGGCAGAGTCAGTATCTTGATCTATCTGAAGGGTCTGGAAGTCGACATACCATACAGGACACGATCCGGAGACGTCCTCGAGCCACGGATCGACGCATTTCGGATGAAACTTATGGTTGCAAGGCAGGAGTCGAATCTCTTCGTTCTCAACAAATTCCTCCAAGCATATCAAGCAATTCGAATCGCTTTGCCATTCCTGCCTGGCAGACCCAGAAGAACTCGTCCTTACTTCAGCTCCTTCGTGCACAGCCGCAGGCACAGTGAGTCCTGCATCGATCTTAGGCAACACACCCAACTTGACAGTCCCAATATCACCATCCCGACCTGTCTCCTCAAAAGCACCTTCCACACGTGTCGACTCCGCCAACTCAACATCCTTCACCCTATCATTTCCAAACCTCACAATTGGCAAGCTCTCAACAACAGCCCTCGTAAGACCTTTTGCACGACTCTGTTTCCTTTGCCCCAGCCCTGCTGGCCTGGGTCCATATCTTGCCGGCTGCCACGAAGCTCTAAAGTACCCCAAACACAAGAGTCCGCAGAAGAGTAGTATGAAGACAACAGTTACGCTGATACCGAGTGCAACTCCAAGTGCTAGTGAGACTCCGGTCGATTGATCTGAAGTGTCGCGATGGGGGAATTGGCTGCGTTGTTCTCGGGGAGGAACCATGGTTGGAGTTTTCCGATAATGACGACTGTGTTCTTTCGTTTGTGGGACTGCTGGATGCTGTGAGGACAATTTGATCTAAAAAATGAACATGTGGCATTTATACAGAACAATAGATTGTTACACCGCGTCCCAGTAAACTCAAATCGCAGTATATCTCACGGTGATGACCGGCCGCTCAGCCTTACAAACCCGACATCGTAAAGTTAGAATGCTCAGCCGCCTCATTGCTCAGCAGTATGCGTGAATATTGAGTCCAACGCACAATACCGAAACTTAGTCGCCTTATCTTGCAGGATGGATGAATTGTGAGTGAGAGATTTAGATCACCTTCCGGTTCTGTGTGGGGAAGCGGGCTTCTAGAAGAATGGAAGCCTGGATAGTGGCAGAGTAAGAGAATCCGCCTAATTTTGAAAGAGAAGGTAATTGAGGCTGTCGTGTGATTTAATATATCCTGATGTTCTCGTCTAATACTTCGTATTGGCAACAGCCTGATGATGTGGGCACCGCCATACTTTAGAAAGTTAAGCGATGATTTTCAGGGGGGTTGGTTGAGAGAAGAAAGCCTCGTAAAGACGCAAAGAGCCTCGAATGAGACATTTTAAAGTATGAAGAACATTTTGAAAGCACTTTGGCCTTGCAAAACAAAGAGCGGAAAATTTTCTGGTTGTCAGCGACTTGATATCACGTGTTGGTGTACAAATCCCTTGCAGAAATTTGTTGGTACGCCGTCGCCGGCTGTCCCGGGGTTTAGCCGTAGCCATCAAGAAGATGCAAACCACAAACTTGTGTTGCACTGATAAAAAGGGCTTTTTAGAAGAAGAAATATCGAGGAATATCCTCAATTTCAAGATACCGTGGGTTTGTTTCGGTGCATGCTGCATGATCCCCCTTTTCAACCTCGCTTAAATCGGAGTGTGCAAAATTTGCAGTCTGACTCGTATATATTTAAATAAACAAAAAATTAGCCAATCAGCGACTCGGTAGCTAAGTGGTATAGCGTGGGATTGCAGTCAAAGCTTGTATCCTAAGGTCTCGTGTTCGATCCACGATCGGGTCTTTTTTGTTTTATAAATCTGTCCCTCAAGTCAGTTCATTTTTGAGCCTGCCTCATGGGCTTGAAACTTTTGCTTTTGTGGGGTGGCGGCCCGAAGCGAGATTTCACTTGGCCATGAAAGGTTTTGTGATTGTTGATCAGTTAATTGTTGTTTTAAAGTTGGCTTAGTTGGGAAGTTGCCTCCTTTTGCGCTCGGTGAGTACAAAATTGTCTTGCAAGTTTGCGAGAAAGTCTTTGTAGGTATGGGCTATATTTCTTAACCTTGTTTGTACACAGCAGACCGAGAATGTTTGGGGAAGGCTACGGTGTAAACAGAAATCTGCCTTTGGCGTAGACTTCAGTATCGAGAGTAAGTCTGTCCAGTTTTCACTTGAATGCAATGTCCCAAGGAGCATAGGCATTTCTAATTTCCAGGGATAATATTCTTGATTCAAGTTCTCGGACCCTGCTATTAACTACTATCTTTGGACTTAATTCATATCTAAGACTTGTAGACCGATTGTGTCTTCCTGCTAAGTTGGCACGTGATACGGAGGATCCCATTTTAGACATACAGTGAGACCTTCTGCTGCAAGGAGAGATTCATTCCAGGTCCGCGAGGAACTTTCAGTGCTTCTGCCCTGTCTTCTGAAGTGAACTCTGCGAAAAATGTCGCGGTGTCGGAGGTGACCTTTGTAGCAGCAAGTTCGGAGGCAGCGTTGACAATATGACGAGCCATAGGCCTCGAAATCGTGGAGGGGTCTCTTGGGTAGCGCTCTAAGAGATGATGTACACAGTCAGCTACTATTGCTACTCTTGATGGATTCTAGAAGCAGCTGTTCTTAGGTACGGTTAGTTGTATTGTGCAGATTGCATGGTTGGTTAAACTTGCTGCAAGGTCGGTACCTTGGGGACAAAACTTGATACTAATGGCAGATTTTGTTTCGACTTTCTTGATAAGGGATTGGACAGGAGCTAGGTCGTTCCAGACGTCGACGGGCCGTCTCACTTGGACGCAAGTCGATATGGGAGGCACATGCCTTGGCACATTAATGTTGATAGCATGCCCCTGCCCCAAGTTCCGACCAACGTGGACTTCACCATCGATATCGATGCCGTGATCGAGTAGGAAAGGCTTGGCGTGCTCGGAGATTGCATGGTCAGTCGTTGGACGCATAGAACGCTTGGAAGTGTGTGTTGCGGATGCAGGAGACGTAGGTATCGAGAGTTGCATCTCTCCTGTATTCTTTACTGGCGTCTCTTCTGGCTTCTTTGCGGACTTCTCTGCGAGCATCTCTGCTGGCTTGGCCGGTTGAGAATACATTCATGGAAATAAACCAATCCATCGATTTCAAATCTCATCCTGTCAAGGGCAATCGAAGAGGCCAGGCCAAGATACTTAATGTAGCAAAGTGTCCTATCATCACAGAAGTGGACTCTAGAAGTCCAGACAAGGCTGGGAGATTGAGAGGGCTGAACCAATTTACTTATGTGTTGGCTGTTTTTGTCTTTGTGTACCAGACTGCTGAAGTACTGAGGTGCACGGGTGATCATCTCTTGAGGTGATCATCTGTTGAGATGCTTGAATTTCGAAGTGAATAAGCACCCAGGCGTTGAGCCATAGCTCTGAATTCGATCTTGAGGAGAGGAGTATGTTTGGTGAACTTGTCGGCATGATTGATATGTGCGTCGTAGAATTGGTCTGAGGATAACCAGACAACTGTGATGATGTGTAGCTAACGGTGTTGTGGAGGAATGTGTTCGTAGGCCCCTTATTTGATAGACTGATGAATGGATATGCTGATGGATGTGTGATCTGGAAGAGGAGATATGCCGTTGAAGAGGTATACTGATGAACTGTCGCTTGTAGAAAATCCGAGGAGTGCGTTCTTTCACCTCCCGCATTGGAAGACTGATAAAAAGGCATGCCCTTGAGTAGAGCGTGCGATCGGTGAATGTGTTGTGGTATAGTTGTGTTGCTGGAGTTGCATGCTGATGAAGTGCGCTGGGGAGAGATAGGCTTTCTGGTGAATTGGTGATGCACGTGTGAGATCCGAAGGAGTATTCGTATCGCACCTCATACTCGTCAAGGTTGTGTTTCGTATGATGAGATTTCTGACAAGCAATTATGGTGTGTAATTCGATGGAGGATATGCTTGAAAGTTGACATGCTTGCTATCTGAGGAAGAGATTTTCGAAACCGCTTGAAGCTGAAGGGATATGATCTTTCGAGTAGTGAATTGGCGAGGTGCTTAATTCTCGAGTCAGAAAATAAGTGAGGTGCTAGGTAGTCTTGAAGCTTGGTTTGAGGGGTGAATGTCTGCCAGAGTTTCAAAGATTGCTTTCAGCATACCCTTCACTCCGCGGAAACTGTTGCTAGTAGACTGATGAACTCGCTGATTACTGCATCGGATTGTTGCTAAATGGACAGATGTTTGGGATGTTGATCTAATTTGAGGCTGGGTTTAATGCTTGGATATTTGCTAAGTCTGATTCGTGGAGTTTTGCTGATTTGCTGGAGCCTCAATGAGTCCTTTCAATACACTCTGCACTCTGCAAAAGCTGTACTGGGTAAAAACGGTTCGCGACACTTCGTTGTTGAGAATAAGGCTGCACCTTTATCACTTACGATGCGTTCCTTGAGCAGCAAGCTGCGTTCATAATTCCAAGAGTAAGATACACAAGTCTGAGTCCCCACGTGTATCAAAACTCGGGCTAATTTGACACGTTTTCATTTCCAAGGCTTGAGGATCAAAGATACTCTCTTATTACACAAAGAGTGTTGAATGGGCGGAATTGAATTCAAATCAACGTCTTGAAGGGCAAGCCATCGTGTTTCTATGTTGACAGAGGAGGACTGGTCGAGAGAAATCTCGGCATTCGTGCAGTTGACCTAACCTTAATTGAGTGTAGCTTAAAAAACGTCCCGTACGAGTAACCCCAATTTCAAGCTCTTTCCTCATCGCAATTCTAACTTCTCAACTCAACATCATGATAGATAATTTGCTCTAATCTAATCTCGAACATCTATTTCGGAAACACCCTCATTTGAATTCAGGAACCACGGACCTTGACCACCGATTCTCACTCTCACTCTCACACCTCACAATCCTTCGCGACACCCTGGCCAACCTCGCCGTCGGACCCAGCAGAAGACCTCCCGTCGACCTGGCGCGGCCCTCTACGATATGCAACAAATTATTTCATCGCGAGGTCTGGGCAGGCCTCAAATCGACACGCACACGTTGTCATCGCGAAAACGATGCATCTAGAGCTTCGTGGCCATCTTGAAACGCTGAACCTTATTCTACCTGCCGGGGACGCGGTCATGCGCACTTTGAAAGGATGACCATGGGATGCGAGGATGTTCGTATGCAGATGCGCGGGTGCGAGGTTCGAGAAGCATGCAGGTCGGGAGGAGACTTGAGCTGCATGTCAAGGATATGCATTCTGTTCTCTTTGAGGATCACTTCTTTCATTCTTTATTTCATCCCATCTTCGTCGAGGTTTCTTCAGGAAATGGCTCCGGAGTCGGAGTACTGCCTGAAATAGACGCGACGCCCCTGAAGCACCTCATTGGTTGGAGACAGGGGGCACACCCTCGTGTTGCACATCGTTTGCCACACAATCTTCACTCTGTTGCTTGTCGCAGTCCGGCTACAGAAACCCGGTGTTTGAGGAGTGGTGGCTCTGGGAGAGTGAGGTATCACATGATTCTGTACACCGAATCAACTCGAGAGTACTGCGAATTTCAGTTGTTATTGTAGCTTGATAACGTTAAAATCTCCTACTGAAGGAACCCGTGCCTCTGCCTGGAGGATCTGAAAAGAGGAAGGATTCATCCAGATCACGTGGAAGACCAGTGTCAGCATTGAAAGCCACCGAATGTAGCTGACAGGCGCCGATTGGGAGTGCAAATCTCATGTCATCCTCCTCTTCATCTCGAAAAATTGCCAGTGCCAAGATCAGTCATGTAATTTCAACGTTGACAGGTTGAACTTCAACCATGGCGACCAAGATTACCCACATTTTCAAGGAAACGGACGGCCTAGAGCTCAAAGCAGACATCTACATTAGTTCATCCGACGCCCATCGACGAGAATACAACCGCGCTCAACCCGTTGTCCTCTACTTTCACGGCGGCGGATTTGTTGACTCAGACCGCGAGGATATTCCTCCTCATATCGTACAACTATGTCTCATGCGAGGATGGATACTCGTCAGTACCGACTACCGGAAGCTACCCCAGATCTCGGGCGCTGAGATGTGGGAAGATGCAAGAGACGCTTTTCTCTTCGTGAGAGAGAGACTGCCAGGGATTCTGACGGGACGTTCGAGCGGTGCGAAGTTCGAGAATGTGATCTGCCTTGGCAGAAGTGCTGGTGGGCTCATCTTCCAACTTTTAAATGGACAACATGTTGACGAAGAAACAGGGGCGTATCTCTCATATCTCTGCGGCCACAATATGGACCCAAAACCGATAGGCATCCTGACTTACTATGGCATAACGTCGATGTCAGACACCTTCTTCAACAGCAATGTCCAACTCGGCCCCTCCCCCATCGGCTGGGAACGTGTAAAGTCATTTTACAGCGAATCCACCACACTTGGATCCACCTCACCCTCAAAAAAATTCGACCCGGATTGTCTCTTGCCAGATCTGAGCCGGAACCCTGCTTGGAAAAGCCCAGAGCCAGAACAGGAACTACCTCCTAGGATTGCGCTGGTGCCATGGCTTCTACAAGAGAACCAATTCCCGGAATTGATGAGTGAAGTGGATTGGGATTTGGAGGATGGGAGCTGGAAGGAGTTTCCACCGACGATTCTAGTACACGGTGATAAGGATAGTGTGGCGCCATATGAGTTATCGGTGAGGTTGGTTGAGGCCATTGGTGAGTCTTCTTTTGATGCGAGAGTTTGCGTTGTGATGGGAGGATTCGGGGACGGTTGAAGACTGACTTCAAGTAGGACAACCTCCCGCGAAGTTGTTTACTGCCGTTGGTCAAGACCATGCATTTGATGAG